ATATATATATATATATATCAGATTTGAATAATGAATAACTATTTAAATATGATATATCTATTAATCGACTCTTTTTACCAATATTCGAATATAGACTATTATAGAAGAGAATAGAATACCTATTATAGAATAGAGGTAAAAGCTTAATAACTATTTCAATCTTAATAATCTAATAAGAAAGGACGGTTTCGTTTAAGTGTCTATAAATTTAGGCAGATACAGATCTGAAAATAAATTTTTTGGATCATCAAAATAATTTCAAGCATGATGAGAAATGCTATAAAAAGTAAGTTTTAGCATTCTATAGTAGTAACTAATTTAAGCATCCTACATAATTATTTTGATGGTCCAACAAAATTATATTCAAATATATAGATAAATTTTTAGATACTTCTCAGCAAATTCGTTCTTTTCCTGAAGGATTTGATTTTTTGAAGGAAGAAAAGAACTACCTTTTGATTCATTTTCAGGCAACGCGTCGATGTTGCTACAGTCGGACGAATGCAACACCGGCCGGCATCCTCTGTTGGCGAACAATCTGCAGGACGGTGGTGCTGACAGCGATACAAATAGCCACTGCGCGCTAATACTCGAGGAAACGACACCTACCTCGACGAACAACCACAATTGCGCGGCCGGCGGCGGCCGTGAAAAAAGCAACGGTAACAACAACTACGAGATGCGTGAGTTTAACCGCAGGCTGTTGCTGTCGAATGGTACCAGCCCAGGCACAGGCGTGACCGTAACAAGCGGTCAGAGTAGGCGCACCTGACTATGGAGATGGTGGCGAAGCACCCAGAACCGTTTCCTATACAGGAGCAATCGGCGGCGCGCCGATATACCGCTATACAAGTAAAAGTACGACAAACTCTTTGTCATACGTTTCAGTTTCTTTTTTAAGAAAATAACACATACATCTAGCGAGCTACTAGCTGGCGCGAGTCCAACGGACGATGTGATATACCTAAGAAAACGTCGCCGCCGCCGCCGTCATTATCGATGTCGTCGTATCGACGAAATCGGTGAAAGTGAAGAAGGTTGACAATTGCGTAGCTTGTCTTCTATAGTCATCCCTACTTCTCACTCTCGAGGTCTTATCGCCGATAGTGCACACAAACATAATACCGAGGGAAGACTGCGGCGACGGATGACGTTGACGGCACATGAGAGACCAAGCATTCATGAATCGATATCACGATGGGACTTTACAATTATTAATGAAAGAACCAAATCAAAACATATATAATAGTGCGAGAGAGATAGAGAGAGAAAGAAAGCTATCTCCATTTTTGTAAGGCAAAATTCATGAAGAAGCGTTTAAATTCGCCAAGATCACGACGCGAGAGTGAAACTCCCCCGATCTTGCGTGATCCGAAGGTGAAAAAAAAAAAAGAAAAGAGCGCAATCCGAGGCTGGAACGTCGTTGCCCTATGATTCCTTAAAACGAGCGACGAGCAACTCACCCCGCGTGAAAAACAGTTCGAAGAAACCATTCTATTTACGGCCCGTACTCTCGTAGTCGTATGCTAATTTCGTCATCATCGACATCGAACTACAGAGGGTAGGTGCACGCTAATTTTAAATGGTTAGAAACAACTTTCTTTAGTCTTCTGACTTTTATGGAATAAATCCGCCGCTTTTCCACGCGAGCTTTCGCTGTGTTTGTGCGCGCGCGTCCCTAGCCGCGGTGACTACATCGTCGGGTTGTTCATTAACTGCCCCGGGCTCTCCTCGCAAGTATACATCTTGCATATACATGCCTTACTGTCCTCGCATAATCGGTGTGCATAACTACTTTTGCAGATTTTATTTTTAATCGTGAAACTTTCTTGCGTTCACCCATATCCGAATAAAGCCGTCATCGATCGTGTCATCAGTGTACCCGAGATATCATCCATCGTGCTGTTTCTCATTCGAAGATAAACTCCACGCCGGTAGTATGTCACAGTCGAATGTAACTATCATCGCCTATAAATGACACACGAAGCTCTTGTTCCCGTTGAATCTTTGCATAGAATTGTTTTTAGACTAACAATTCTGAGTTAATTAAAGACTCTCGAGCTAGTAATCAGATGTATTTCGTGGATCGTGTTTCTGTCTGGCAAAACATTATTTTTAGTGTATCTCCTTTCTATCTATATTATATGTCGCAAAGGTATCTCTCTCAAAAATCCCATAGATATTCATTTTATCTTTTGAACACATCATGGATATTATTATACCAATATTAAAACAACAGAAGCAGTGAATTTAGTTGACTGTTCGATCTTTTCTATCACTATTTGAAGAATAGAAGTTATGATTCAAAACTTGTTAACAATTTCTGTGACTTTTATTCGACTTGAGGAAATTATATCTTTGCGACTTCACGTTTGACTCTCTTAATAATGCAAACAACTTGTATTTGTTCAGACCAGAACTATGCTTTATAGTACTGTCTAATCAGCTATCGTATCTCGCGACTACATTCATTAAGTTCTGTAATGATTCTTAAGAGATAATTACGATAGTTACGGGAGAATATTGTGAGATACTACTGCCAAATTGATGATCCTCCTACCTTTCTCTGACAAGATGAATGTATGTTTAGACAAATTATTCTTGAGCGACAAGAATTTGTTTAGTTTTCTCCTTAATAATATTAATAATATAACAGAAAATGAAAGAACGAGGAAATGAGAGGGAAAGAGAAATTTCCAATATAGGCGATGATTAAATAATTTCTAATCGCTGTTACATAACATCTAAAAGATACGCGTCACGCAAGTAGCTTGTACCGATACGTTTCCTTGTAATTACACCATCATTATTGACTAAGATAAGTATGGATCGGAGATACTTCATTCAATGTTTCAAACTATTTTCCCTTTTTCTTTTCGCACGCCTCATACGCCACTCCAGTGTCCCAATAATTGAGATCCGTCTTAGCGACAAAGACGTAGCGTACACTCGAAATAATTGGCTTCCTAGCTAGGATTAAAGGAATCTTAGGGTTATACATTTAATGAGAATGCAATGATAATGGATACAAATACTATAGTAGGCTGTATATACCGGCATAGATAATAAGTGTCGATCGTCTGCTTAAGGAGAAACCGAGATATTATCTGTTAATTGTTCGAACGCATGTCTCCGCCGATGTCATAAAATGGGACGCTTTACGTTAATCCTATCTGTCGCAGTTGAATTTACGTGTTTCGAAATCTGGCGTTTTACATGTCCAAGTATAATTACGCTAGTCTGGAAAACAGGGTAATTATTAATCTCAAACGGTTGCCTGATCATCTTTGGGCCACTATTAGCGAAGTAGAACATTTGTGCGTGTCGCCAAATAAGATAATTGATTCCTTTCGTTTTCTCCAGATAAGAAAAGATTCTTTTGCCGACTACGTGCAAGTTCAATCATTTTTTTCTTAATCAGACCATCGAATTATTGTTGAATGTAATAATAATGTGAAAGCTTACACCTCGCAGACACACAGCCTCTGCCACTAAATGTATATAAAGATATTATATACAAAAGATAGAGAGATATTAATCGTTTTTTAATTAATTAATTAGACGAAAGAAAATACATTTGGAAAGAAAAAAAAAAACCAATATGAAACTTATATATCAACTCCGGAGAAACGAGATATTTGAATTCATTTCGGTTGTTGTATCAATGTATCATCTATTAGAAAAAAACAGCGAAAGATTTTAGGCATTTATATTTTATTCGGTCGACATTTCCTAATGTTATAACGTACAACCACACTGCAAGAAAAATTTCAAAGTTCAAACGAGCATAGCGATTTATAATGGAGATTGGTATTTAAATGTAATATATACAAATTGAAGTGGAAGACGTGCGGGGAGCTTTGAATAGTGCCTGCTTAAAATCCGATTTATTATATATCTCAAACAATTAGGTATGGTTGAACAATTAGTCATTTGCGACATTGCACGTTGAATCCGACAGATCGATCAACAGGAAACAGTCTACAAAAATGCGATCCATTTTTTATTAAAATAAGAAAGAAGTAGATAAGAGTTTATATAGCTTACGTTATCTTTTCTAATATTAAACAATGTCGCTGAACAGATTTATCTAAATGAATATTCTATCTCATTGAATGTTACTGAAAATATCTAACGATAATCAAGATGTTCGCACAAATAATATAAAGATCGATTTCCTATTAAATCAGCTTCTTGATCAATCGATCCGTTTCTGCCAGGTGTGCGATGTCGCAAATGAGATATTTCATAGAGTGATCGTAGCGCGATATCGAAAGAAAAGTATGCACACTTAAAAGCTTTGACTATCTTAATATTGTATAAAGACGACACACACGCGATGAAGAAAAAAAAAGAGTGTATTCAAAGACTGTTAATGAAGAAGAGCGAACACGAAATAATTAACACGTAGTTACAAGCTACAATCGAGCTCAATAGCGCGTTTACGTTAATGAACCTCTCATAATATCGTATCGACAAGCTTGCATCTGTATTTAATTTACATTACAGGGATACGCCGCCGGTTTCAATACGGCCGTATTTCATAGGTTTGCTATTCTATAAAGCGTTTGTTAACATACACCATAATCTTCCCCTGTTCTACGCGAGATTTCCCATTATTTGATATTATTAAGTGTACATAAAAAGATAAAAAAAAAGTGGTAATTGTATATAAATACTGTTACTGTTCTACAAACTATATTATGTAATATGAATATATAAGAAAAAAAATTGGTTATTTAGTATAACTTTGATTGTGAGATTTTTGACTTACTTTTATTTGGGGATCCTTCACTTGCAGAACAGTATCCACTATTGACGCGCCAATAACCACCTGAATAACACATTAGTTTAAATATACTTCAAATAGAGATAGTGGCATGACTTGTTTAACGGTGTGTCAGTCTTAAATGTTATGATAAAGTAACTTCTCACGTCATGCTTCTTAAGTCTATTTTCAAGAAATAATTTTATATTCTTTTCGGACTTACCGGTTTTTGTCTTGATATTATTGATGGTACAGAAGTAGAGCTTATATGGGCTGTTTGAGATTTTTCACAGAGATTCAAGGCGATTTCAGCTGCGACTTTAGCATTGTTTTCTATGAGAGCTATATCTGTAAAATTGTCATAAGCCAAATGTTTTAAACATAACAATTACATTTTATCGCATTTTATATCGCAATTAATTTCTATTTACTCACTCGCTTCAAGTGACTGACCACGCGTGATCTCGTCGAGTTCACTTAAAAGGAAAGGCGTAACTTGCTTGCCCGTTATGCACATAGCATTAGCTTTCTTTAAAGCCTCAGATATAGCAGCATCCATGACACTAGGTTGCAATGCATATTTTTCAGGAATAGGAACTGCAAATAACATCCCTGTGTTAATACCCAGTATTCTCTGTGTCTCCACAATATCGGCTGCTTCCTTGGCATTGGAGATTCTGCACGGTGCTTTTATTTTGTCTGAAGTTTCAGAACAGTGAAAAGCTGGAAATTCTGGCGTTTTGCCTATTTTTATGACCGGTACTCCTTGAGTTTCCTGCGAGCATAAAATCCGTATTTTTATGTTAACCTCTGGAAACAAAAGGAACATTTATAAATTGTATGAAACATAGAAATGGTTATATATTCATATCTATCAAATCTTTAAGTATATCTACCAAATACTCCAAGGTCTTGCCAATGTCCAGAATAGATTTGATACCAGAGCAAACAACTGCCACCGGTGTGCGTCCAAGTTCAATTAGGTCGGCACTGATGTCAAGAGTTAGCTCAGCTCCTCTGTGAACACCACCGATACCACCTGTTGCCATTATTGGAATACCAACTGCATGTGCAATTAACATTGTGCCACTGACTGTTGTACCACCATTCAATCCTTGCGACAAAATGAAAGAAATATCCCTTCGTGAACACTTTATAGTCTTTGCAGAGTCAGCTTTAGACAAGGTCTCCAGTTGTTCATTGTTCAAGCCTACATGTATCTTGCCATTTATGATTCCTATCGTTGCAGGTATGACACCCTAAAATAAGCAAAAAGTGTGTCTACTATTGTTCACAACATTATTGTTCAATCGTGATAGATAACTTTCAAAGCTACTCACAATATATTCAATATATTAACTTAGAAAATTTTTTTATTTTTGAAAATTCTCAAATAAAATATTCAAATTTCTCTTGTTTTATTGATAATCAAAAAGACCTTTCGATGGGGAAGTTCCTAAAGTTACTTTATATTAGAATGCTTTCCAGCAAGAGACACAGATAACATAAGTGTAACACAATGATTCATTACTTCTCATTATTCTCATTATTACTTCTAAATGTTTAACAAAGATGAATTGATCACTATATGTTTCTTGCTAGAAAGCATCAATTGTCTTCATCTGAAAAAAGAACGTCATTGGATATCATACTTGCTTTCTGATTGCATCTTCGACTTTCAGCGCGGTGTCCAAGTTATTTGGATACGGCATACCGTGTGTGATGATTGTCGATTCTAGTGCCACGATAGGTAGACCGTGTTTTCGAGCCGCCGCGACATTCGGTCCATAGACGAGCGAATTCCGACCGGCGATCGATCTCCGATGGATCGGCGGCACGTTGGATCTCCTGCATAATTTTCCTATGAGGTCGCTCAAACGGGATCGATGCATATCGGGATGAATGAACGCTTGAATGAATATGCAGAGTATTTTTGACGCGAGTTTTTCTCAACTTCTAGATAAGACAAACGAATGAAAGTAATCGCGATAATCAAATGTTATTTGAAACGAATTGAGATAAACTGATTAAGGTACAAGCGCCGATACGTAACGAACGAACGGTACTTTATTTCACCGTATGAATTTTATATATCGATGATATTACTTCATTTTTCTTCCATTTTTATCGTTGTATAACAAGATCAATAAAGATCCTGATCCGATGACGTCTGTCTCTCGATTATATGGCCGGCAGCCATACAGAATTGTATCCCTGTAACTGCACTGTGATATATCTTAAATGCGCTTAAAATGAAATAGGTGTATGATTTGATATTGAAGAAAAAAGAGAGAAGATATAAATTTCAAAGATGAAAGATTTGAAATTTTTGTAAATTCGATGTAATGAATATTCTACATGTAAAATTGTTTATGTTTGACGATCAGGACACGTGCGTGCGCGTCTAATTCAGGAGTAGAGAATCGGGATTTGTGCGTCGCGAACAGCTGATCACAGCTGATAGTCCGGCGTCTTCGACACGTGCAGAGAATTGAACTTTAGGTTAGAAAGTGAACAGCAGTTGAAAGCCGGAAGTAGTCTTGATTTTTTTAACTTTTTTTCTTTTAATTTTTCTCGATGTTGGAGGAAAAAAAAGAGAAAAGATGAACAAGAAGTTCAGCTAAAATTGCTAAAAAGAAGAAGTCCATATAATAACAATCATAATTAATGTTTTTCGATTTAATTAGGCGCAGTGATTATTTGAGCAGAACTACACTTAAGTACCGAACTTTACCCTCTCACTGTTTTCTTCTCCAATTGGCTAATCGATTGACCGCCAAAAGAAAAGAAGTTCGAAATATCTTTAATTTTTCATTATAATCATCTTTCATTATAAAACAAAGTAGCATATTTGTTCCTGATTGAACTAATTATTGAAAATGATTTTGAATTTTTTAAATCAATAATGATGTATATACTAATATCTAGATGCAACAAAAATACATATACACAACCTCGAGTAGGCTTGAAATGCATAATCTAAAAGGAAAAAAAAATTAAAATAATCAATTTGACGTCACATTGATCGACATTATTTTGATTTTCTTGTTCTGCTTGAATAGTATTCAAGCAGAACACAATAAACTTCTAGAAGGCGAAAATTGTATCAAAGTATAAAAGAAACATAAATGTTTCTTTTATCTCTGTTTTATCGTTCCAATTTTCTCCTTTTAAAAGTTTCGTTTACGCTTCTGTTACTCTCCCATTATATTCAATTTATGCTCCGATTTTTATTTTCATCCGGGTTGTTATAGATCTGTTTTTTATAACTGTACTTTTGGAACTTAAAAAGTGAAACAAGTATACATTTGATATTTTACTAAAATGAGAAAAAAGTTCTAGTGCAGTTATCTAGTGCAGCTTATAAAAAACTGACTGTGACGTCAAAACGATGTCGAAGTAACAAAATGATTACTAATAACTTTTTCGACTATAATCGATGTAGATTGACCCGAGAATGATTAACCCGAAAGTACCATGACCTCATCTAAATAGAAACCAAATAAGTAGAGCATGCGTGTGACGTCATTTATGAGATAATCGATCTCGGATCGATTATTTAAACCCGCTGCAATCGAAAACGCTGTAAAAGACATTTTTCAATCAGCAACGATTTATTTTAACGTCATTTCATGGCTTGTTTTTCTGCTTGGGTACTATAATTATCTATAATACATATATTCACTTGTATTCATTCACTGTCAGTGTTGAAAATCTATAGTATACACTTACGTACATACATGCTGTAGATTTTCAGTACTGGCAGTAAATATTGAAACGTAGCCTTCATGAAAGGTCTCTAGTGACGTCAGATGAGATAAATGAACCTTTGAATTGAATCTTTTTTGTTGAATTGTAAAATGTTTTTCATCTAAACATAATTTCGATTGATTTAATTGATAATTATCAAATATAATATTTGTATTATATTTTGTCAACATGGATAGAAATTAATTTTTGTTAAAATTCACAAATGAGCAAATTAAAAATGAGCCGAGTTTGGCTAAATTTATAGAAGAAAAGATTTTTTTATTAAGGATAATGAATATATTATACAAAGTTAGAATCATGCGAAATTTGATCACACACATCGCAACATTGTTTGTGCGAAATCGCTGTTCTTATCTGATCGATTAGAAAAATTTTTGTTGTTACAAACATTGAACAATAACAATTGATAGAAAAATAATATTTATTTCTCTTATAGGAATTAATTTAATACTAGCTAATAGAAATAAATTCAACTTACTAGCCAATTAATCCCTTATTTTGAACATTAAAAGTATTGTTATAGTATTTTTTTAATTATTAAAAATTATGACATAACAAATATCGAATGACATTATCCAATAAATCGTTCGATACTTGTTACCTCATAATTTTTGATAAATACAAAAAATTGGCATATCTAGCAAAAAAATGTCAGCAATCACACAATTCTTGCAGTCAGTGGGAAGATTACAGACACAAATGCTATTGGTAAATGCTACATAATCTGTAAATATTATGTAATGTCATCAGTAAATATGCTCATCATTTGGGATATTAATAGATTGTTTAGTAGATATCTTATCACGAACCGTTCGTGCTGATAATTTATTATTATATATTTGCATATTGCGACAATCCTATTTATTTGACGTCAATTTTCGGGAAATGGATTTAACATATATCGACATATTCTCCAATATGGTTTCGATTCTACCGTAATTGGAGCAGAGCACGATTAGAGATGACTGATACTTCTCGGAACTGGCTTCTTGAAACAATTATGACCGTGAAAGAATTGCGTCTTTTTTTGTCCCCTAAAACTCTTCTCCGGTGTCGTCACCGAGATTATCGACAATGTTGTGAAAATGCGTTTCGATCTCGTTGTCGCCAAGATTACAAGTTCATCGAGGGTCAATCCTAGTTGCGTCTGTGTGCGGGGAGCGTGATGTTTTCGAGTGCATAAGATCAGATTTTTGCCGAGACTCAAGAGACGTTTTGAGTTCAAGGGTGGAAAAACGCGGTGGGATATGATTTCCAAACGCGACAATATCGTCCATATATATCATATCGATGCCGTCGTACAGCACGTAGTGCGTGATAATCTCACTCCGAAGTGTACGACAAGGATGTCCCCGCATAAGGAGCCGCTTTCCCATCTACAGGATGACGAAATGTATTCATTTAGTAGATCGCTAAGAAACCAGGAATCGTCATACACAAGAGATAAACGCATTTATTTTAGTGAGAATGAAAAAAGGTACATTATATTTCCTTTCAACTAGTGAATTCCAGTCACGAATTCTTATTAATCTCTTACGAGAACAATTAAGTTACGAACCTTACAATTTTGCTTAGGATTGACCCACAAAACTCCAGACGCTTCATTAGAAATATAAATAAATAAACCGACATAAATAGTTACAAAGAAAATATTATAGTAAGAATTATAACGGAGTCTTCAGTAGCTTTAGGCTAGCATTTTACGAGAGAGTTGCAATTATTCGAATTTTTAATGTACGCTTTGTCAATACAATTAATTAAAGAAAAAAATCTCAAAACCTTGTAATTGCTTTTACACAAATTGTATGTTTTATTTCGTCCACGGAGAATAACATACGATGTCGATGCAGTAAATTCAGACGTAACAGAAAATAGATTGATTGAATTAAAATAGACGTTTTAAGCTTAAAACCTACTTTAGACGACCTATAATTCGCGTCAGATTTCAAGATAGAATCCTATTTATAAATTTATACGCCGTGTACAAAAAAATATTTAAAGAATCAGAAATATGTACATACATAAATATAGGATGCGCACATGTATCAAAATACGCAAAATCTATATGAAAATAGAATTATGTCTTGAAATCTGACACGAATTATAGATCGCCTAAAATGGGATTATGACATTGTTATATATATCTATAAATTGTCCCCATAGCGATTTAAAATATCTATAACTGTTCACAGTGCGCATCGTAATTTCTATTAATGCGATCGGTGAAAATCAATAGTCCATTGCAATTTTTATAGTACAAGTACTTCAATATCGTACAACATTGGCTGAGTTCAGTAGAAAAAGTAACTTTGCAACTGTTGAAAAATTCTTTAGTATGATTCGTTCTTGTTCTTAATTCCTTATAGATCTACATGTATAAATTAATCATATAAAATAATCTTACAACAATTACAAAACTATTTTCTGCTAAAAGCAGCCAATATTATAATAATATTTAAATTCTTCGCTCAGAGATTATATATTCTCATTACAAAAAAGAATTAATATTATAGTAACTGGTACAATTATAAAAAAAGATTAATATCATAGTAACTGATGTAATATTTTCTCTGTATCTAAATAAGTCAGAAAAAAGTAGAAGAATATCATGTGAACGAATAAAAAATTTAAATGGTAAATAAATTCAGAAAGAATTTGTGTTTAGGGACGAATATGAATTAGGCACTTGTGCTTATGGCAAGAATAATGTCAAGTTGTTGTACGTAAATCGGAATAATGAGCCTTACCACGACATTCGCGAGTACGAGATCGATACGCACTTACGTCTGTACGACCGGAAGGAATTTTTTGAGGGTGACAATCGCGACGTCGTCTCGACGGATAGTCAAAAGAATACGGTGTACCTGCTAGCGAAGAAGCACGGCGTTCAATCGCCCGAAACGTTCGCGCTTCTACTTTGCTCTCACTTCCTCTATACGTATAAACACGTGGCACAAGTCAATATCAACGTCGAGGAATATCCGTGGACCAGGTATCACACTAACAACCGGCCGCACAATCACGCCTTCGTTATGAATCCCACTGCGACGAGATTCTGCCAAGTCAGTCAGGTCAGAAATGGTATGGCTCGAGAAAAATGATCCGCTTATTTCATGTAACTCATTGAGACTAATTCGGAAAATGAAAAATATTGATCTGATTTTAAATTTCTAAATAAATTCAATCTTCAGATAATTCCTAAATAGATTTATTTCGTGATTCTTTTATATCATTATCATTATTATTTTTTTATATGATAAAGTTACATTATGAAAGTTTGATGTCTTTAATTTATATGTAAGATTTTATTTTTTGCCCTTAAATTAAAAGATGTATTAACGTAATATTTTTTAATGCAACATATTTTTCGGCACATGCATTTGATTTATTACGAAATCAGAAAATATGCATTTGAACAAGCAGAAGATTAGTCTATTAACTTTTTATTCAAGATTTACTCGGTTCTAGGGCCGCCACAAATATGCGGTGGATTAAAAGGGCTGCGAGTGTTGAAAACCACTCAGAGCTCGTTTGTAAACTTCGTTCAGGACGAATATGGCACGTTGCAAGACACGCACGATCGTATTTTCAGTACTGTTGTAATGGCAGCATGGGATTATTCCACCGCCGAGGTAGATTTTGATGGTGCTTGGCATATGGTGAAGGAATGCATTCTACAGAATTTCGCGGGTCCACCAGATACGGGGATTCATTCGTTCAGTGTACAGAATACGCTTTATCTCACAGAAAAGTGCATACTTGATAAAGTCAAGCAAGTAAGCATTAACATATTATTATCACAAAGTAATTGTTTACTACCTATCTCATAACGTTTTGCCAAAAAGATCTTAATTTAATTTATTTTAATATTAAATTAATAAGTTAAAATTAAAATAAATAAATAAAAAAATATTTAACATTATTAAAATATTAAATAATAATAATTACATATTATAATAATAAATTAATATATTTAATTATTTTGTTTTACCTATTATGTATGCATTACGCGGAAATAAAATATTTACAGATTAGTAGCATCGAGATGCAAATGCCGAACAAGCATTACATCGATTTGGATTTCAGCTCGTTCACTAAACTAAGAATAGAAGGACAAAACAAGGAAGTTTATCTACCCTTAGATAAGCCGTCAGGTATTATTTATGGTCGATTAAACAGAAAAGATTCCTCGGCCAAATTATAGACATGTATGAGTGTTGAGTTATTAATAAAGTTTACATTTTTTATAATCAGGCTGAATTGTTCCATCTTTCGGTAAACTTCACTGTCTTATTCTCTTTCATAAGAGTAATGCTTTTATTCTTTTGCTCTTTTGTTTATACAATAAATAAATTATTATCACATAATTTACCCGAAGCTGGAACAACCAGTCTTTAATTTAATTCTCATCAAATAAATCAATCAAATAATCAAATAAATTTTTAAAGATTACTTTGGAGTGTATAACTCGCGCCAGATTTCGGAATAAAATTCTGTAATTTTTACATATTTGTAATTTCATATACATATATTTTATATAAACTTCAATTTTATATAAACTTTAATTCTCTTAATTTTTTCTTATACATGCCACCATAAAATGATAAATAAATTTATCTGGAATTATTCTATTTTATTTTAATTTATTATAAGCTGATAATATAGGAAGTATGGGACAAAAAACGCTCAAATTGAGTGAACACTTTCTTTTAATGAAATTGTCATCGGACTACGAAAAATTTCACGTAAAAATTCACTTCTAAAATTTACAATTCATAAAATATGTTCTCGCCGGCTGTGGATCTATATGATGTGCCTCCGACATGGTGGGAAGCAGACTGCGTAAAATACGGGTGAGATTGAAGCCTTTCCATCGATTTTTGCTGAGAATAACCTCTTAATTAATTGACACAGAATCAGTTACACACCCGTGAGATCGCGATTAACGTTGCTGATGGGAACTAATGTAGTACGATTGACGGATCGCAGATACATGATGCAGCTTACATCGAGATTGCAGGAGGATTACGAGGCGCAGCAAAAGGCTCGCATTGAACGAAATAAATTTAAGGCTGATTCGATCGTACCACAAATGAGTGAATTATTGCCCAGGTCATTGCTGAAGCCTACTCGGCGACGGCGTGAATGCGAGCCAAAATTTCACGCGTATGCGGCTAAAATATGTAAACAACTTCCACAAATGTTACTCGCGAATGATTCAGAGCCTCATTTCAATTCTAAATTATAATTCTAATTCTAAATTCTAAATTATAATTTCGTATAATAACATTCACATATTTTCGTTTCGACGAGTAAATCTAAATGTAAGAAGATATACAGAATCAAGGAACATTTCAAAATGCCTGATATGCGCATAATAAATAACAAGCCTCAAGCATTCTTTTAATTAGCAGAACTTCTTGTATGATTCATCTTTTTTTTTCCTTGTTAGAAAAAAAAGGGAAAGGATGAACTGTGCAAAAGCATAAAAAGAGCTGTTCAGCTAAAAAGAACTTATCGTCAAATTTATACATCGAGCTAAACACTTAAAAGTTAAATTTTTAATTAACTAATCTTAATTAACTAATCTGGAACTAATAACTAGAACTAATAACTAGAACTAAAACGATTGAAGATTTGATGTGATGTTTGATGATCAATTTTACACAATTGTTGGTTTCGAGAAAGAGAAACAGGTGTTTCATGGCGAGATCTTAAGTCGTCGCCATCTCTATCCGTCTCTGCCGTGACTTCTTCAATGGCAGATGAAACACGAGTGGCCGATTGACGGGGACTTGCACCAGTATTCCCTTGGAATTACGATCGATCGTGTCGAGCGGTGTCGAGTCGTCGGTGTCTGTAAAAAGATAGCTATTTTTAATCGCGAGATTGCTCGGTTCTTTTCTTATGCGTTCCAATCGATGAATGAATAAACGATCGATTTTTCTTCGTGCAGAATTATTTGTCCTCACCTAGAATCTTCTCGCCCCAAAGGTTATTCCATACATCCGACCCGGACAGGTGTTGGAGACTCGACGACATGATTAGCGACGGATCTGACGCGTATCCGTAATGATAACCTGACCAGCCGAGTGACGTGAGAGCGTCGCTGGAAAATAAAATATTCGAGTTATGCCCGCACGGAAAAGATGATTTTGTTGAAAACACCTAAAAATTTATCTAGATGCAGATAAATTTATCTAGATGAAAATAATTTTGTTGGTCCACCAAAATAATTTTGTCGGACGCCCGATTCATAGAATCAAAACTTTTTGCAGCAATGCTTGAACTTTCTGCATAATTATTTTGCATAATTAATTAATCCAACAAAATTATTCTTAGATCTGTATATTTTCACCTTTATATACTCCAGTAAAATCGTTCTTTCCGTGTATACGTATAATTATTTAAGTGATCCAACAAAATTATTTTTAGATTTATATCTAGCTATAAATTTTTAGATATTTCAATAAAATCTTTCCATACATTTCTACCAATGTAAATTAATTTTAATTTTAAGATCTGTTTTCTGTAGCTGAACTAGTGTACACTTTTGGAATTTACATTCAAAATAGGTATATGTTTAATTTGTCGAAAGCGAGAAAGAGAGTTCTAATGTAGGATCAGAAAAGAGATCATTAATTTAACTCGCTATTTATCTTTTTCTTTTCTAGGAATTAGAAAAGGATAAAGAGTAAGTTAAATCAATATTAATCTGCATTAATAGAAATGGATATAAATAGAAATGGACAGCAAGTCGCATCAGCCATATGTGATATTAACATATAATGTGCAAATAAAATTAAAAGGATTGGCGATGAGATTGCAAGTTTTCACGCGGCGATACGAAAACTAAACTAAACTTGAAATATCGCTTTCCTTCATGCAATAATTTATTATTTTTCTATATAGATTTTTTCTATAGATAATTTTTTTCCGAAACGCAATCGAGTTGCGAAACAAGTTTAATCTTTTTTATTCAATTGGAACGTACTCGTAGAATTCGTCGAGATAGTATTTATCTGGTGCTCTCGTCCATGCTAATAGAGGGAAAGGCATCGGATAATAATGTATGTGATAGTGTTGTACATGTCCTATCTTAGGCAGCGTCTTTTTTGCCTTCAGAGATTCAAAGAATTCCGTCAGTGCCTTCTTAGGGCTGCAACGTGAGAAAATGTATAAATAATTGAAGACAGAAAAGCGGAAAGTAGAAGAAATAGCACATTTGTTGTATTGCATACAAATTTTTTTCATGCCGCTCCATTCCATCGAGAGCTTTCGATTTTATCTTGTCTCTCTAGGAGGAGGGAGACAATTTTCTTCTTTTACAAAAAAATTATGCTAATAAATTCTAAATTATTAAAAATAAGGCTATTTAAAAAAGCTTAAATCTGATTTAAAAAAAAGCTATTTAAAAAAAGTCTTAGAATAGCTAACAGATAAAAAATTTTATTATTCAAACAATTGCGAATCTACTTTTTAGCAAAATTTTAACTTAGAATTTGTTTATTAAAATATCTAAAAACAAATTACAAAAAATAATAGTATCAAAGTTTCGACCAAAGAAAATTAACTCAACGAAAGTTCACAAGTCGAAGGAGACAAAATTGATTTGATATATCTTGCATAAGATTAAATTATTATTTTCGAATTTCAATAGCTCTGAATAAAGAAAGTACAAAGACACACTCACTATTGAAAAAAAAATTCTTCCGAGGGTCCGGCCAAAAGCACCACAGGTAGCGCCAACTGCAAATCACCACAACAATTAATCTATAGTCTCCTTTTCTTTTTTTTTTTTAAATTTTATTCTCAATCGTTCATATATAATTAATAATCGCCAGTTATCTCGAGCGACACGTCGACTTTGTTCGCATCGAGCTATTAAGTTATTTATTAGTTATTTATTAGACCACAGAACACAAATTGTTGGAGTTATAACGTAGGCGGTACTCCTAAGTGCACTTCCTCCATATAACGAAGAACAACATCATGAAATCTCAAATTTGCAAGGTCGTTTTTGCACCTGCCATTAAGATATCTGGTCATTTACTTGCAACATCAGCCGCGTCTTCATGCTGCAGTACTAACTGGAAGGTTGATCGGATCGCTACGTCCGCAGTCTGCGATATATGAATACAACAAACTGAGAATTTCGATGAAACTGGATCGCTTTATAGCCGCGCTCTCTTACCCTCTTTCTCTTCATGCACTCATACTTTTCATTTTTCCCCTCGGCCGCGGTTCATCAGGTGATCGCTGAAACAATTTTTCAAGAAACATGTATTCCTACGTTGTTGTAATCACTTCCTCGCAGTCATAATCAGAGCTATATGCAGAGCACTGTGTATGAAATGTTCACGGAAAGAATAGTTTTACTAAGTATTTAAAAATTTTAACTTAGCTAAATATAGATCTGAAAATACTTTTGTTTGAACCGTTAAAATAATTACGTAACTCTCAAACATGAATAATGCTGCAAAAAGTTTTAAAATTAATCTGCATTAGTAGAAATGGATATAAATAGAAATGGACAGTCAGTCGCATCAGCCATGTGTGATATTAACATATAACGATAAAATTAAAAGGAAGGCGATGAGATTGCAAGTTTTCTCGCACGCGGCGATACGAAAACTAAATTAAACTTGAAATATCGCAATCAGTTTAAGAATCCTACACTGAACAAAAAGATTGGCTCAATAAGGTATAGCATTTTTAATTGGTTGCAATCCAAAGCCAATTAAAAATGCTATGCCATATTTTACCATCTAATTTGCTATAGCAGCCAATTCTTTCTTTCAATATACGTAGTTTTGATAGCCCAATAAAATTATTTTTAGATCTGTATTTAACTAAATTTTTTAATATTTTAGCAAAATCTTTTCATCATCTTTTCTGTATATAAATCTGAAAATAATTTTGTTGAACTATCAAGATATGTAGAACATTCAAAATATGTAGAATTTGATTGCTAGAATATTAAAACATTTTGCAACATTGCACATCATACTTGAGATTTTTATATGATTATTTTGATAGTCCAATCAAATTATTTTTAGACCCGTATCATTTAACTAAACTTTTAGATATTTTAGCAAAATTTTTCTATAATATGATGTGCATTATTATGAATTATTAAATTAATAGTGTTTATTAATTAAATAATATAAAAATATATAATATAATATAATAATATAAAATCATAAA